AAAAAAAAAAAATAAAAAACAAAGAAAAAAAAAAAAGAAAAAAAAAGGAACAAAAAAAAGAAACAAATAAAAAATGAAAAAAATTGCAAAAAAGAAAAAAAAGTATGAAAAAAAGTGTATAAAGGGCAAAAGAAAAAAAACTAATCAAAAAAAAAGAAAAAAGCAAGCAAAATGGCAAAAAAAGCAAAACGGCAAAGAAAGCAAAGTGGCAAGATAGAAAAGCAAAACAAAATAGCAAAGAAAGCAAAGCGGCAAGAAAAGAAAAGCAAATAAAGCAGCAAAGAAAAGCAAAGCAGCAAAGAAAAGCAAAGTAGCAAAGAAAAACAAAATAGAAAAAAAGCAAAGTAGCAAAAAAGCAAAGCAGCAAAAAAGCAAAGCAGCAGAAAAGCAAAGTAGCAAAAAAGCAAAGCAGCAAAAATAGGAAGCACAATTATCAATTGTTTATATATAATTGGCAATCTCAAAAATGATTAGCTGATCATATAAGGGTCACCATAATGATGGGTTACTATAACATCAGATTACTAATATAATTTTGCTAAAAAAATATTCTAATATTGAATTATTGAAAAAACTTATTTTATATAATTATAATGATAGATTAATAAAAAAGAAAAACAAATAGTATATTAAAACTATATCTTTTTTGATTTTATTAAATGCAGTTTAAAAGGAATTAATAGATATTTAAATTCTTTTTAAACTATTTATAAACAGGAGCTAATACAAGAATATCTTTTCAAGTTTGTAGTTCATATCATAATAGACTAGTCTGAACAATTTTATATTTATAAGGCTATAATACAAAAAGTTTTTTTTAAATAATCAAAATATTTTTGAATTTATTACTATGTTCTTATCTATAATGGGCTCTCTTTATATATTATTAAATATCTATGAACTTGTTTTAATATTTACAAAAAGGTTTTTAGAAATTATAAAGATCTTGATAAGAAACCATAGCTATGAAAAAATTAATTTAATTCTCTATATTTCATATTTAGTATAGTTTAAAGTAGCTAATTTTGTTTATTTAAAATTTG